GTAACAGACGCTCACCAAGCAGAGAAGTTAGCAGAAAGAAGAAAGACAGTAAATTTCATAGATTCCATATATTACTCTCAAATAGGAGTCTTGAAGTGACAATTCTATAAATGTGCAGGAAGCTCCGAAATCTGTTGTCTGCCACATTTTCAATTTTGATGGGAAAGAAGCATATCTAATGACTGATACGTGCAATAAAACCATACACCGGTCTCCCCTCTAAAATCATCCACAGTTGAACTTGTTCAAGTTTCACACATGATACTCATACTTTCCCAGCACTAACACCAACACTGGCAGTGGCCAGTTAGCTTCATTTAGTTAAAGCCTCTCTTCTGAACATCATCACTATCAACACAGAAAAGCTACAAGCAACTATGTTTTAGAGGGAAACAAAGATTTTTCTTTTTACATAAACTACATGGCAAACAAACAGTGATGGGCAAATGGACTAATGGTATGGAAGGAATTGAAGATATACAGGTATCACATTTAGTCATTGGGATGTTAACTCTGACTATTGGGCAGGAATATGAGTGACAATTCACAGAAAAGCCGTCTAAACAGAGGCCCTCCTTATTGGAACTGAACATTGTTCAAACCAAACCGTACCACAAGAGAATATAATCTTCAGGTTCTTCTATAGCCTTGACTGATTATGCCAAATTTCTTGGTATTTTTGACTAATTAATTTACTGGGATTATTACAACAGCATGCTTTCTACAGCTTCATTTCTAATGCTGGCAATGTTCCATTCTGGGATTAGTAGCTTTTGTCCAGGTAACCTGCAGTTCAGAGTCTTGACGCTAGATGCCTAGGAGATAATTGAAACTCTTAGTATCTTTGAGTTTGTCTCCTCTGTACTTCTGTATTGGCACTGTCTCCAACCGTTGATGTTACTCAACTCAGCAGGCATGCACAGAAAGCAAAACACTTCTTGTTGCTTTGGCTGAAAATGCGCGCCAATTATTGATTTTCCCATTTCATGCATAAATATAAAAGACCATTTCTGATGGAGCACGGGACAACACAGTAGGCCATCCCT